CTCATTGGAAGAACCGCAGTCACATTGCAAACAGCATGTGTTCGGGGACCCAGTAGTTGTGACCATTTTGGCAATCAAGCTATCTCTTTCTGGGTAGTTCTGTCAACATAACAAGCTCTTGAAATAGAGAAGCTGAGCAGTGGAGTGTTGGCCCCTTAAGTATTACTCAGTAGGAGGGTTCCCGAAACATAATTGCTTGGGCCCCAGAGTACCTGGAGGTTTATAAAACAGACCTTTCAGTTGTTACCTAGAGCCCTTTCTTCCCAGGAGGACCATCCCGTGTGTTCAGGAGAGCAGATTGGGGGCAGAGTTGAGTGACAATCTCATTGGCCTTCTGTCAACTAAGCTTTGAGTTTTCTTTCTTTAGAATGCAAATTCTCTCCCAAGAGGGTCTTTTTCCACCTCTCAAGCAGATGTCTGGCCAGCCCACCATGCTGGTGCAGCAGATGTGTGACGAGGTGGCTGCAGCCAGGGTAGACCTCACTTAGGCTTCCTTATCCCTCTAGATCTTGTTGGATCTTCCTCTGTAAATTCTTACCTCCTGGATAGCAGAGGAAAAAATTCCTAAATATTAGTCTGATAAATGAATTTTTATGCAATAATCTAAACGGTCCCTCTGGTCTTCTTATGTAAATAGTCTCTCAGAGTTCTTCCTTCCTGCCCAGTTCTTTTTAAGACGCATCGTTGGGAGAGGTTGTATCTTACTCTGGTGGTGGCTAGTGAGGCTGGTGCTCAGGATCACAGGGAGGCCTCAAGGTCCTCTGTGGGCCCGGCTACAGAGGGCCTGCTCTGGACCCTCCCTTGAAAGCAGGATGCTGGGCGTGCTGGTCCCATTCCTGAGTGCTTGGCTGACATATACTGATGATGCCTGCATCATGTGCAGTTCAGGGTCTGAGTGCTCCAGGCTCCTTCCGATCTCTGCACACTGATCTTCACCTGGCCTTCGCTGATGCTCCCTCTGGGTCTCCAACATGTCCTCCTGCTAGCCCCTGATTTAGCCAGGGGCTACCTGCCCCTCTTCATCCTGGAGCTTAGAGCAGATGATTTGTGGGTTCTGTGTCGCATCCCCTCAGGCCACGCCTCATCCCAGCATAGCAGTGGCAGCAGCTCCAGGAACAGGAACTCATTCCTCCTTAAGCAACAATGGCTCCTTTCTTTCTCTCTTTCCTTCCTTCCTTCCTTCCTTCCTTCCTTCCTTCCTTCCTTCCTTCCTTCCTTCCTTCCCTCCCTCCCTCCCTCCCTCCTTCCTTCCTTCCTTCCTCCCTTTCTCCCTCCCTCCCTCCCTTCCTTTGCTCCTGTCTTTCTTGGCTCCTGTCTTTCTTCCCTCTCCTCCCTTCCCCTCTCTTCTCCTCCCCTCCCCTCCCCTCCCCTCTGTTTTTTTGAGATAGAGTCTTGTTCTGTTGCCCAGGCTGGAGTACAGTGGCTGCCAGGGAAACCTCCGCCTCCCAGGTTCAAGCAATTCTCCGGCCTCAGACCTCTCTAGTAATTGGGATTACAGGCATGCTACCATTCCCGGCTAATTTTTGTAGTTTTAGTAGAGACGGGGTTTCGCCATGTTGGCCAGGCTGGTCTCTGACACCTGATCTCTGGGGATCCACCTGCCTCCATCTTCCAAAGTGCTGGGATTACAGGTGTGAGCCACCTGTGCCCAGTCTGTAATCCTTGATTCTATCCCCAGAACTCCACTTAACTCACCAACATACTCCTGCTCTAAGGTCAAAAGTCACAAATCAGGGAGATGCAGCATCCCGGACTTTCCCAGAATCCACTGGGAACTGAGGAACTGAGGAGTGGGCTTTGGGCCTCCCAGTTCTCTGTATAGCCTCCTTCTCCCAAGCCACACAGAACTCTGATCTAGTAGCAAGGTCTGCCTCTCCAGATGTCAGAGCGGAGACGAAGAAATGTAGAAGCTCCTTTACTCTCTCTGGCCATGTTTGTCATTCTCACTACTGTTTTGCTAAGGAAAAAAAAAAACTTAGCTTTGAGACTCCAAGCTCATTAGTGGCCTCCTTATCCTGTAAACCTGTGCTGTCCCAATCTGGTAGCCACTGGTCACATGTGGCTATTGAACACTTGCGATATGGTGAATGCCCCAGAGGAACTGAACTTTAAGTTTATTTATTCATCATTAATTAAAATGAAAATGTATACGACGGTCCTCCGTTCAGTTATTGGCAACATTTAAGTATGTTTGGAATGGCTGGGCGTGTGAATCTACTTTTTCAACAGCAAGTGTTACAAAATCTGAATTCAGATCAATATTTCTGATGAAAATTTAATGTCCAAATTGAGATGTCCTGAAGCAAAATTGCACTGGATTTCAGCCTTAGTATGAAAACAGAATGTCAAATATCTCACAATTTCTGTACATTAATTACATGTTGAAATATGGTATTTGTAGTTAAATAAAATATATCATTAAAATTAATCTCACTTGTTTCTTTTTACCATTTTTAGTGTGGCTGCCAGAAAGTTAAAAATTGCACCTGTGGCTTGAGTTGTATTTCTCTTCTTTTTTCCTTTGAGACCAAGTCTCGCTCTGTCGCCCAGGCTGAGTGCCGTGGCGTGATCTCGGATCATTGCAACCTCTGCCTCCCAGGTTCAAGCGATTCTCCTGCCTCAGTTTCCTGAGTAGTTAGGATTACAGGTGCACGCCATGACACCCAGCTAATTTTTGTGTTTTAAGTAGAGACAGAGTTTCACCATGTTGTTCAGGCTGGTCTCAAACTCCTGCCCTTGTGATCTGCCCGCCTTGGCCTCCCAAAGTGCTGGGATTACAGGTATGAGCCACTGCACCCGGTGAGTTGCATTTCTTTTGTATTTTTAGTAGAGATGGGGTTTCACCATGTTGGCCAGGCTGGTCTCAAACTCCTGACCTCAGGTGGTCTGTCTGCCTTGGCCTCCCAAAGTGTTGGGATTACAGGCGTGAGCTACCGTGCCCAGCCATGAGTTGGGTTTCTATTGGAGAATTTTAGACAATTCTAGACAATGCTTACCTGATGCTTCCTGGGCTATGAGCCTCCTGGTCTGGCCTCTGGTGGTAGAAGACTATAAGGAAACATGATTTAAGGGTAGACTTTAATTATTAGTTTAATATATGCAAAATATTATCCCTGTTCTGATGTGTTGCCCTATTCTGCCTTGAAGGATGAAGGGCTATTCCTTTCTCTCCTGTGGCTTTGGTATGGGGAAATTGATGAATGAAAAATTGATTTCTAGTATCTTGCATAGATGAATCCATCAATCAATGAATCAATTTATTCACCAAGATGGAGAATCTAAGTAGAGAGAAATGTGTTCAGGGCTTGGCAAGATGGCTTATGCTTGTAATCCCAGCAGTTTGGAAGGCCGATGGGGAGGACTGCTTGAGGCCAGGAGTTTGAGACTAGCTTGGGTAACATAGTGAGACCCCATCTCTAAAAAAAAATACAAAAATTAGCCGGGCATGGTGGTACATGCCTGTAGTCCCAGCTACTCAAAAGGCTAAGGCAGGAGGATCTCTTGAGCCCAGGAGATTGAGGCTGCAGTGAGCTATGATCATGCCACTGCACTCCAGCCTGGGTGACAGAGTGAGACCCCCATCTCAAAATTAGAAAGCAAAACAAAAACAAAAGGAATGGGTTTGGTTTTAAATAGAGCCTAGGTTCAGGATTTCTGGCAGCCCAGTTTGGACAACCTGAGCTCATCAGTAGCTGTACAGCCACAGAACAGTGAGCTGCTTTTTTGGGAGATTAGATTAGAGATTAAGGGATTCTAGCAGCATCTGGCTGCTTTCCTGAGCAGCGGAGCTCCAAGCCCCAGTGATAGAAGCCATGGCCACCCTTCACCATGTGTTGGGGGTGCAGGGAGGGCCAGTCTGTGATGAAAGACAAGAAGGAACCCCTGAGAAAAGACTTTCTGGGTCACTGGAAGCCCTTTAGGCTCTAGATTTGCCTCTTACTGAGCTCTCCAAGAAGTTCTGACACTGAGAATAGATTATCAAGAAACCACTGCATCCACAAATACATTTCCCTAAGGTTATTTCTATTACCCGCAAAGGAAAGAAGCTTAACTAATAGAGTAGCGGTTCCAGATGGAGAAACTTCATGGGAAAGCTGTAACTTATTTAATTTATAGTGTTTATAGCTCAAGAAGAAAGAACCAGAAGATATATACACATTTTTTCTATAAATAAAGCTTATCAGTGGCCTCCTTTTTCAGGGTAGCTGACACAGTTCTCAGCACCACCCTACAGCTGCATTTGGGTTCAACAGAGTTTTGTGGCCAGCCTGGAAGCAGATCACCATTTATAACATTGTTTCTAAGGGAGACACATTCCAAGATCCAAACAATGAATTTAGTAAAGAACGCCTGGCTTCCAAGCTGGATGAGCTGGTCTGGCTGTATCTTGGGGGTTGGCCTGAGGCTCCCTTCCCCTTTTGCCCGCTAACTCTACAGGGTTGGGGGTAGGCATATGGGGGGAGAGCTCTGAGCAGATAGGGAACCCGTAGCCAGGCTGTTCGAGGGCCTCTTGCAGGCTGAGGGCACCAGGAGGTCCAGGGATGGAAAAGGGGGAGGTGAGAAATGGACAAAGAAACTTGGCCTCCTTGGCATTGCTGTCACGTCTGGCCGGCCCGCCAAGTCGAAGGGGCCTGTTTAGCCCCTGCTTGGCTCAAACCCTTTTGGGAATAAGCTGGGTGTTAGAAAAAAAAATCCCACAGCCTCTGCCTGGGGAATCCGGGCCGCAGGAGGTGGGCTTGGTGGGGCAGCGTGACTGTTCCCTGGGAGTGGCTGTCACAGCGCCGGGTGAACCAAGGAGCTTGAGGCAAGTCTCCATCCCGCTTGGAGAGGGCAGCAGCAAGGAGGTGAGGGGAGCCAGCTCAACCTCCCCAACCCTGCACTCCCACCCCCAGCCTGGAAGAATCCCTGGCGGCAGGAGCCTAGACGAGCTGGCGGGGATGGGGACGCAGCCACTGCATTGTCTGGGAGGGAGGGGAGAAGCTCCGCCCCTAGAGGGGAGGGGAGAAGAGGAGGGGGCGGGAGACAAGGGGAGGAAGAAAGGCGAAGGCCAGGCGGAGGGGTGGGGAGTGATAAGAAGAGCGAGAGAAAAGAGGGGACTGCGGACTAGCAGACCGGGTAGGGACTGAAAAAGGCCAAGGGATGGGAGGGAGGGAGAGGAGGGAGTCGGGGAGCGAGGAGGGCGGGGCGCCCGGTCCCCAATCGCGCGGCCACCGTCTGCCCAGCCTGGCTGGATTTGAGTCCAGCCCGCCGATCGCTGGCCGAGGCGCAGCTGGAGCAGCCCCCCAGCCGCGGCGCCCTCCACTTTCCAACTCCAAGGTTCCGGAGGCGCGCGCGACGCAGCTGGCCAGGGGTGCAGGCAAGGAGCGGGACGCGGGGCGCGGGGCGCGGGCGCAGGCGCGGGGCGCTGAGAGCGAGGCACTGGCGCGGGATGCCTGGCTCAAGGTGAGGGCGCTGGCGGTTCTCTTTCCACCCTCCCGAAAGTTTTCCCACGATGGTCCCTACCCAGGCGGGGTCAGCGCCTTAGTCCCCGCCTGCCTCTTGTTGCCTCTTTCCTCTCCCAGCCGCTGGGCTCCCGGGGCGAGCGGATCGCCCCCGCCCAGGGGCCGGGTCGACGCGGAGCCCCAGCCGGCCTACGGTCCGTCCTAAGAAAGTTGTGGCTTGGAGCTAGTCCTCCTTCTCCGACCCCTGGGGGCGTCTTTCCTTTTTTTCGCGCCTGCGATGGTAAGGCGCTCCCACCCCATCCTCCGGGTCTCTGAGACTTCCTGGTGAGGTGGGGCGGCGTGGCAGGTGCAGGGCTGGGTAGGGCCTGACAGCCTCAGAGAGTGCCGAACCCCAATCCGCTGTCGTCTTCTAGGCGGATTCCCCAGAGGCGGGTCCCGGTCCCCGGCGCGGGGAGGCGGCGCGCTTCGGAAGGGCGCAGGGTGCTTGGGGGCCCTCGGCCCTCCAGGCACTTCCCCTTTGCGGTCTCCCCGCCCTCCTTAGGAGCTAGTGTCTCAGGTCGCCGGACCTCCTCCTGGCGTCCTCTGTCACCCCTAGAGCGAGGCAGGTGCTGTGGGCGGCCCCGGCTACGTCCGCAGTTCGCGCGCTTACTTTGCATTCAGCTCTAACTCAGAGAGCTCTGGGAACAGCCGAGAGTGCCGGTGGCCTCACCGGGAGACTGAGGGTTCTGTTTCACCTCTGGGGCTCTGCGTGGGTCCTGGGCTGTCCACAGCACCTCTGTGCGTCAGTGACAGGAGAAGCCGAGCGCGAGGCCTTTCAACGCTGCATGCACTCTATTTCCCAGGTGTCTGGAATCCCGCGCCTAGAACGTGCTTTTCGGGAGAGCAGAGGCGGTGTCTACGGTTGACTGGGGTTACAGTAAGTGCCTTGTAAGTGATGAATGAATGTGTGAACCAATCAGCTGACAAACAGCAATTTGTCCCGGAGGGGGACCCGGTTACTGCCACAGCTGATCTTAGTACAATGGGAGGAAAGAATTAGAAACAATCATTCTTTTAAACAGCCGGGAAGACAGAGCCAGGGGCCTTCTTTCTGGAACATCTGGATGAGGAATCTGTAGCTAGGCTTATTTTACTAACAAATCCACATTTACTTACTAGGCAGTTTTTCTGCAGGTGGTCTGAAGAATTAAAGAAACCTGGCATGGAGAAGATATATTGGGTTGAGGAGAGTTAATTTTTTTTAAAAACCAAAACACTTGTGTTCAAATGTAATGTCCCAGGGACACAGTGTGGCATCTACTTGGGTGGTGGCCATTTGGGATCAGAGACCTTGAGGCATTGGGGGTGGGCAGTAGCTGTGTTTTCTCCTCTGGACAGGTCAGCCTGATGCCTTGGGGCTGTGGCAGTCCAGCAGGCCTCACAGGGGTAGAAGAGTGCCTCAAATGACAGCTGAGCTTGGAGAGGGCGGTAGTTTTGGAAAGAGCAGGAGTTCTTTCGTGGAATATGGAGGCATAGCATGCAGCCTGCCTGGGCACCTGGAGTGGTACAGCTTGGGATTCCCTGTGCTGGGGAGGCTGCAAGGTGAGTCCCGCTCCTCCTTCAGCAGTTGGAAGAGCAGGGGTGGAATATCGGGGAGACACATGATAAGCCTTGGGGTACAGCCTAGACATATCCCAAGTACTCCACTCCCCTTGTTTCTATGCTGTTGAAATTGGGTTAGAATGATCATGGCCCCTTTGAAGAGGCTGGCTGAGAGGAGACCAGGGATCTGAAGTCCCTTTTCATGCCTTCTTCTAGGGGAAGGGGAACAGGCCAGTGCCCTCTGCATCTGGCCAAGTGGGCCTGCGCCCGCACCTACTGTATGTCCAGCCAGCATCATCCCCACTTTCCTGAGCGTCGCCCACTCTATCCCTGGCACTCCACAGCCCATCTCTCTGCATCTTCACATGACCTCTGTTTGGAGGTTCAGGTCTTCTCACCAGTTTGTGCCATCTTAGGAGTCAGTTGGTGTGTCGGACAACCCTGTACCTTGTTTTCAGTCCTTTGGAGGCTCTGGCCCACCTGAGACATCGCAGGTACTCACTGGTTTTGCCTTTACTTCTGGGTCTATTTCCCAGTGTCCCGGAGCCAGGCTCCATGTCTGCGTTCCATGTGTGAGCTGCTTAGGAATGGCTGAGCGAGTTGCCTGGAGAGGTGCCCAGGGCGTGCATCTGCTGCCTCAGAGGGCTGGACGGTGCTGCTTGCCAGAAGGGGGACCTGTCATCAAAGCACAAAAGAACCTGGGCCTGATTATTGCTTTCAGCTGTCTTTAGGATATTTTGGCAGGAAGTGTCCTTACTGAGTGGGAGGTGGGGCAGAGAGGCAGGGTCAGGTTGTCAGAGAGTCCCACAGAGAGGCTGGGAGATGGACTGGGTGACCCCCAAGAGCAGTCCCGGGGTTCATCTCCTCCTCTCTGCCAGAGTGAGACACGGGGCAGGTCTCAGTAGTGTGCTTGGAATAGAACAAGATGTTCAGCCTCTGTCTTCCATCTGTAGTGGCCGAGAGCTGCCCCAGCTGGATTTGTAAAGCAAGGGTAGCAGTTCCCTGCTGCCACCTCCCTAACGCTCTCCACAGTATGGTCCAGCTTTTATTCCAATGATTCACTGTCCTATTTCAACACCTCCCTGACTCCAAGAAGAATTCTCATTTTTTATTTGTATTTATTATTATTTTTCGACATAGGGTCTCTCTCTGTTGCCCAGGCTGGAGTGCAGTGGCGATCATGGCGCACTGCAGCCTCAACCTCCAGGGCCCAAGCCATCCTCCCATCTCAGCCTCTTGAGTAGCTGGGACCACAGGCATATGCCACCATACTCAGCTAGTTTATTATTTTTTTAATAGAGATGAAGTCTTGCTGTGTTGCCCAGGCTGGTCTCAAACACCTCAGCCACCCAAAGTGCTAGGATTACAGGTGTGAGCCACTGTGCCTGGCCCAGAAGAATTTATAAAGGTCTTCAAGGTGGAGTGAGCTCCCCCAGGTCTCGCTACTGGTTTCATTGAATTGGTCTGCTTGTGCGTTCCCGTGGACCACATGGCCGTGTGAGGTGGGGGTAAGTGAATGTGGCAGGAGGCACCAGGGAAGTAGAGTGGCACATCCTCTGACTCAGGCTGGGCAGCCAGTGGGTCACTTTTGATCATTGCTGGGATGGAAGACTCTAAAGCCTGTCATCACAGGTTGGTGCAGCTATTTGTGGTGACAACTTGGGGCTGGGGAACTGCTGCCAAGGCAGCTGTGGCGGAACCAGAGAGGGTTCCTCTCATCCATTCCTGTGGAGTGGGCAAAGTGACTTCCAAGGGCTTTTCCTGTTCCTTCAGTTGGTGAAAACTGGCAGAGAAATACCTGTGCTTTCTTTGAACGTGTCAACCCAAAGTGATTTGGGAAAGAGGATGTAGATTTCCTTCATCAGCGCGGTGCTTCAACCTTAGTTGGCATTCAGCCAAGTGTGATTAACTACTCGCTTTTATACATGCCATGAAAAGAGTATTGGATTTGGAGTTTGAATTGCGTCTTACCATTTCCTAGCTCTGGGGTACAGGGCAACATAATAGATACTGTCAGCCTCCTGCTCATGTTCCGCTGCTCAGCCAATGGCCAATCGAAGATGGTGTGCAAATACTCCAGCTTCCTCTAAAGGAAGCCTCTCTGTTGGGATAAGTTTGAGGCATGTTCTGTGCTGTCTCTAAGAGTTCCCTTGCAGGACTGAATCCCGATGGCTCATAGTGTTAACTTTCCCCCTTCCTCTTCTCACTCCTCCCCCGCACCCCGCTTTGTACTTGAACTTGAATTCTTATCTTAGGATCTACTTTTGGGGGAAATCAACCTATGACAGGCTTTAACCTATAGTAAAAAGTCATTAAAAGTCTCAGTTTCCCCAACTGTAAGATGAAATGATAACTATTATAATAACTATACATTATAATAAAATATAACTGTCAGATGAAATTATAGTAACTATCTCACAGCAATATTGTAAGGGTCAAATGAGCTATCATATGTGCTCAGGCCTGGCACACAGCAAGCATGTAGAAAACCATTTGCTGGCAAGAAGCAGGCTACAGTGGATTTGAGAGTGTGTATTCTGGTGGAACGTGGAGGGTTACCGTGCTTTGGAGAGAGAGGCTGCTCTTAGGTTAGGTGAGGGAACTGAGGTCACCTGCTTTACATTGCTAGGTTGTGACCAGTGATGTGCTGGTAAATGCTTAACAGCTGGCTCTTGGAAGGGGGTTTGTGATGGTTTCCATTTTATGTGATATAAATAAAAAGAAGTATTCCCACTATAGCCGACTTCACTCTGCCAACATGGTGTCAGTGAGCACTGCTGTGGAGAGTGGTGCATCATTGGCCCTTGAGAACCAGTGGGAGCTGCCCCAGCACACATCTGGCCATGACTGAGTCAGCAGGTGACCCCGGTTATTTCAATTTCCAATTCTGTACATGGCGGGGGGAGGGGGTGGCAGGCGGCGGAGAGGATAAGACTTGTACTGGGCATCCAAGACATGGGATATGTTAAAGTGCTCCCCTGAACCGGTTGGATCATCACATGTGAGACACTTCTGGGGTGCATTTAATGGTTATGATTATGATTGTTTTTTTGAGGTGGAATCTCACTCTGTTTCCCAGGCTGGAGTACAGTGGCACGATCTTGGCTCACTGCAACCTCCACCTCCCAAGTTCAAGCGATTCTCCTGCCTCAGCCTCCCAAGTAGCTGGGATTGCAGGCATGCACCACCATGCCCGGCTTATTTTCTGTATATTTAGTAGAGATGGGGTTTCACCATGTTGGCCAGGCTGGTCTTGAACTCCTGACCTCAAATGATCCACCTGCCTCAGCCTCCCAAAATGCTGGGATTACAGGCATGAGCCACGGCACCTAGCTAGTGATTATTGAAATGTTTATGCTGTGAGTCTTTCTGGTTTCCCCATCTCCAAGGCAAGGGATTAAATGATTCCACATGTCCCTTCTAACCCTTGGTCTCTTTCAGAAGAGTCATTGCCTTGTCCTTCTGTCTATACAAGAACAAAACCTTTAACGTCAAAAGCCTTTCATGCAGACTACACTTGTGGTGCCCACCATGGGACACCCAGCACAGGGCCATCCTAGAGTCTTTCCTGCTGAGAATTCAGTGGACATTAACCCAGTATAATCCTGCCTATCTTGTATATCAGTTTCAGGGTTCGGGCCTGGCGTGTCTGCAGACGATGCCTGGGGAGGTGGGGAGGGAGGGACTGGTTTCTTTTTCTGTTTTCTTTTTTTTTTTTGAGACAGAGTCTCTCTCCATCACCCAGGCTGGTGTGCAATGGCACGATCTTGGCTCACTGCAACCTCTGACTCATGGGTTCAAGTGATTCTCCCGCCTAAGCCTTCCAAGTAGCTGGGATTACAGGCGCACACCGCCACACCCAGCTAATTTTTGTATTTTAAGCAGAGATGGGGTTTCACCATGTTGGCCAGGGTGATCTCAATCTCTTGACCTTGTTATCCACCTGCCTCGGCCTCCCAAAATGCTGGGATTACAGGCGTGAGCCACCGTGCCTTGCCAGGACTGGTTTCTTTTGGAAGGGACTGTCCCTTCCTTTCTGAATCACTGTGCCCAAGTGGAGTCTGCTCATGGTTTGCATGCCTAGGTTGTGACCAGTGATGTGCTGGTAAATGTTGAACATGGCCCTTGGACAGGGGTTCAGAGGAAAGTCCGTGTGGAGAAAGAGACCTTTATATGACAGAATTCAGCATCTGGGTGTAATTTGACTCTTAATGCTCTGTTGACAACCCTCCCAAATAAGTCCCTGACTCAGCAGCTCCACCCATAGGAATTCTTCTCCTAGGGATGTAATTGGATAAATGCAGAAAAATATGTGTGTGGGGATGTCCCTGTGGCATTATTTATAATAATAACAACACTCCATAGTGACAAATGGAGACCAAATGGCCAACTAGTTATAACTAATTTATAATTAGTCATAAATTAGTTAACCATGGTATATTTCTACTTTGGAATACCATGTGGCTACAAAAATATAGGATGCAGATGTGTGGCTATTAACATGGAAGAATATGATATTTTTTTTTTTTTTTTTTTGAGACGGAGTTTAGCTCTTGTTACCCAGGCTGGAGTGCAATGGCGCGATCTTGGCTCACTGCAACCTCCGCCTCCTGGGTTCAGGCAATTCTCCTGCCTCAGCCTCCCAAGTAGCTGGGATTACAGGCATGCACCACTATGCCCAGCTAATTTTTTCTATCTTTAGTAGAGACGGGGTTTCACCATTTTGACCAGGATGGTCTCGATCTCCTGACCTCGTGACCCACCCGCCTCGGCCTCCCAAAGTGCTGGGATTACAGGCTTGAGCCACCGCGCCCGGCCCCGATTTTTTTTTTTTTTTTGAGACGGAGTTTCACTCTTGTTGCCCTGGCTGGAGTGCAATGGTGCCATCTCAGCTCACTGCAACCTTTGCCTCCCAGGTTCGAGCAATTCTCCTGCCTCAGCCTCCTGAGTAGCTGGGGTTACAGGCATGTGCCACCATGCCCAGCTAATTTTTTGTATTTTTAGTAGAGACAGGGTTTCACCATGTTGGCCAGGCTGGTTTTGAACTCCTGATCTCAGGCGATCCACCCGCCTCAGCCTTCCATAATGAAGGGATTATAGGCGTGAGCCACCAGAATACAATATATTTTTAAGAAGCAGTTTACCAAATTGTGTGTTATTTCTGCAAAATATATCACCCATTTCTATTGGCATCTGGAAGGATGTGTGGTGAAACATTAATAGGGATTGACTCTGGGTGGTGGAGTTTGGGGAGATTTTGATTTTCGTTTTTTTTCATATGTAATAATTTATTTTTATTTTTTATTGTTGTAAAATATGCATACCATAACATTTACCCTCTTAACCATTTCCAAGTGTACAAATTAGTGGCATTAACTCCATTCACAATGTTGGGCAACCCATCACCATTATCTGTGTTCAGAACTTTTCATCATTCCAAACAGAAACTCTGTACCCACTAAACAATAACCCCCTCATTCCTTTCTCCTTCCAG